TCCCGTTTCGTACCGGGGAACAAGAGCTGCGGATTAGTTTTCCGATTCCTCTTCAACAACCTCAATGGTTGCTTCGGGGGTTTCTTCAACCTCGGCAGCACGGCCCTTTGATTCTCGGGCCTTTCGCTTATTGCAGTCAGCAATCTGATGCTTACCACCGCAGAAGAGACAAAGGTTGTTCTTCATCCTTCTTTCCTTCTCGGAGGGAAGGACTTTCCCATCTGCACCAAGATGGTTGAACGCGGGGCGCTGACCGCCGGATTGGCCGGAATTCGAAGAGTTCTGGGGCTTACCATTGTTGTTAGGCTTACCACCAGAGAAGGGTTTAGGCTTCGGCGTGAACGGCGCCGAAGAGCCAGATGGCTGAGAGTTGTTTTGCTGGTTAGTAGAACCAGTCTTGAAGTCCGAGGAACCCTTCTTCGGGTTCCGAGCAACAAAAGGCTTACCAGCCTCATGCTTTCTAGTTTCCTCGCGTTTCCAATAACGATTGTCAATACGAAGAACTTCTTGACGGTAATCGGCGAGCGTCGCCGGCTCGGGCAAACGCGCCATTTCGTCCTTGATGCGCTCAGCTAAGCCTCGTCCATAAGCCCATTTCAGGGCAGCAGAATCCCAGTTGGTACTAGCAGCCAGGGTGTTGAACCGGATGTTGTATTTCCGGATGTTCTCGGTTTCCTTCATCTTCAGATTACCGAGAGAATCTTCGGCCTCGCCTTGGGCGTCGTAAACGCCGAAATTATCCTGAAGCTCCTTTACAAGGGCTTTGAAGGAGGACGTCCAGGCCGGCAGCGAGTCGAGATCCGGATCGAGAATATCAGGGACAAACCATTCTTTGGCTGACCCACTGAGATAGGAAAGGGTGTAGTTCACCTTCCGTTGGTCGGTGAAGTACTTGGGACGGTCATTGAAGACCAGGGCGAGATTGACGAAGAACGTCTTGAGTTTTCGGGGATCCGAACCGTCGAAGACCTCTGGCTCCTTGACCTTGCTCTTGGATTTAGAGCTGTCCGAGGGACGGCCGAGAGCGGCGAGGACGGTACCAAGGGTCTCAATGGAACCCTTGAACCCCGAGAGGAGTTCCAACATAGCTCGTTGCTCGTTGGGGAGCGAGGTCCACCAGGTCCACCAGGACCGCCGGGACCGCCGGGACCACCAGGTCCACCAGGTCCACTGGGGTCACCAGGTTCACCACGCGGTAAACCGCCGGAATCGTCCTCCAGATCGTCATGATTGTTGTCGGCGCCCGGATCGTCGGGGTCGACAGGAGGGTCTTGATCATCGTGATCACCGGTGTCCAAATCGAAGTGAGGAGGTGGGTCACGAGGAGATTCAGAAGCAGCGCGACGTTGGGGTTGTTTCCCCGTACGGCGGGCTATGGCTTGGAGGATTGGAGAATCAATACGAGTAGTTGAACGGCCCCGAGCCGGAGCGACCACAGGGGGTTGTCCACGGCGAGGGGTCAGGACTTGGACAGGTTGTCCGTCACCAGTGTACAATGTACTGTACTCGAATTGTTGTTCTTCTTCCATGGCTTCAGGAAGAGTCGACGTAGTAGGAACTGTAGCTGGACCGAAACCGCGATTACGGCGACGTGGTTGACCGATGGCAGAGATAGAGTCGGAGAATGGGGCAAATGATTGGGCTGTAGTGAAGAAAGTATTTTCTTCGGAGTTAGCTCTAGATTGAGCTCGAGTTTTCGGAGGCATAAAAAATGATATGTCAGTACGACGTTAACGGATTGAGTTTAATTATACTGTTAAGATCATGTACACCGTGTAACCGTGCCAAGGCCACAGGGTGTCTAAGTGCGGAAGACGAATGGGACAGTAGTGAAGTTATTAACAACACCGCCGTTACGCCGTTAGTCCCCGGAGAGCGAGAGTAGAGAGAGAGGAGCTAAGTAGCAGCCAGGTCGGAGCGGCGGTATCGCCGATGACGAGGAGCGGACCAGAGAACGTCAAAGTCCTAAGGTCGAGGAGAACGTACTTCGAGGCGTTGAGCCTGAAGACTTAGAGAAGAGTTAAGTTGAGAAGGGAGATCTAAGTTGATCTAAGTTGATAATTAAACTGAGGAACTACAGTAGCGTACAGGCAGTATTTATATCTACGGATCGGCGCAGCGGTGCGGAGCGCCAGACTAACTACTAGGAGCTATACGAGTAGTACCTGCAGGGTAGAGTAAAAGACAATAAGAAGGGACTAGAACGAAAGGGTATGTGTAGCGAGAAAGAACAATAAGAGTGAGATAACAATAAGGAGCAGATCTTCGGAATCCCGAGCGGCGGAATGGAGGCCCGCGGCATGGACTTGACAGATCCCTCAGTTGCGTTCACACCAACTGAGGTGAGCAGAGTATAATCCCGACATGAATATCGTACTGACATACAGTAGTTTACACGTTTGTCTACAGATACTTATAATATAACTAGTTGCGTTCACACCAACTGAGTTTACACGTTCGTCTACAGATTATGAGACTGGTAGTCTAATTGATACCGAGAAAAGTTTATCTGCAATAGAACAGCTGAGTCAGGAAGCAACTAATAGCATGCGAGATGTCGTTTGGAAATAGCACAAACATACCTAGACTCCCGGACGAGAAACAGCTCGTCGGCGAGGAAAATTGGAGACTGTTCAAGCGAGAAATCATGTTCGCTGTACAGTCGAGAGGACTGACTGGGTACCTCGATGGAACTATACCCAGGCCCAGCAACTACCCAGGCCCGATATACCCTCCGATGCAACTGACAACACCACTCTTCAGCCCTACTTCTTTCCCAGAGGAATGGGAAGCTCGAGACAGGCTCGTCGCTGGTGCCATTGTCTCTAACATCACCGACCCCGTTGGACTGGGCGTAGACGAAACAAAACGAGCGAACGAGATCTGGCAAGCACTGATCAAACGGTTCGAAAAACGCGACGAGCAGCGTATACACCTAGCCGATACGAACCTACGCCAGGAGAAATATGACCCAACGGAGTCAACTATGGAAGACCACGAAAAGAGAATGAGAAACTTACTCAAGAAGGTACACGACCTTGGAGGGACAGCCACGGATGCTCAATTCAGGCGCATCATTATCTCATCAATGCCGCCGGACTGGAGGCAGGACGTGCGCAGCGTACCAGGAAGCTCGAGCGTGGACGCATTCACATATTTACATACGCTCTGGTACGAAAAGGAGGAAGAGCGAAAAGAGGAAGAACGGGACACAAAACGGGTCAAGGCCCTAATGGCTGCACACACAAACACCCAAGCAACGCGACCCAGCAGCAAACCAGCTATTACATGCCACAACTGCAGCAAAACTGGTCATATCGCTAGGAAGTGCTGGGCCAAGGGTGGAGGAATGGAGGGGCAGGGACCAAGGCAGGGCCAGACGCACAAGCCAAAGAGTGAAGCGAACACGAACATAGCAACCCCGGACAACGCAGAGGTAGCGTCACCTATGGGAACGTACGTCATGTCAGCCCAACCAAACGGTCAGCGAAGTACGTCCAAGCCCTCCCCGGAAACCGAGTTAATCACTGACCCTGCAACCAGCCAGGATAATCCCATTCTAGGGAGCAGGGGTCAGTGTGAGACGAAGGAAAAGGGAGTAGATAGCGACGTACTTAACTACCTGAATGTACCGAGGGACCAATGCATGGTTTGCTGGAGTAGCACTTCGCTGTACTCGCCAGCCATAACTCCAATACGGACGTTCCTTGACTCGGGTGCATCAGAACATTGCTGGGTGCAACGCTCAGATTTCATAGAATACACCAAGGTACAGGGCCAAGGTGGAAGCAGTGCAATCTCCGGCGACGCGGGGAAATTCCAAATCCTAGGGATGGGAACAGTACAAATCGTTACACGCGTCGGAGGGATTGAGAGAGTAATTCAACTCAGAGGGGCAAAACACACACCGTCGTTCGGACATAACCTGATCTCGTTATCCACTCTAGACGGCAAAGGTATGCGAGGGGACTGGGGATCCGGAATAATGACAGTTAGAAACGCGGCCGGAGAGACAATACTCGAAGGTTTTGGTAGAGGAAAGATGTACGAGGTCGAAGTGCTAGACGCGGGGGGTGCAATAGTCAACTACTCCAGGGCAAGGGATAGGCCAGTAGATATCCTCACCTGGCACCGGAGATTTGGTCACGTCGCGATACGGTGCATCCTACGCATGTCGAACCGCAAGCTGGTTGATGGGTTGAACATCACCAACAAAGAGGTACATGGACTATGTGAAGATTGCCTATATGGCAAGGCCACGAAGCGCCCCTTCGACGAAGTACTAACGCACAAGTCTGAAGTCCTCGAGCGGGTACACATAGACCTGTTCGGACCAGCCAGAACACCAACCTGAGGCGGGGCAACATACCTTATGCTTTGTACCGATGGGAGGTCGTCGTTCCGTGCCCCACACTATCTGACAAATAAACGGAAAGAACGTCTACATAAACATCCTTTGCACCTGTACCATCATTACCGGATCTGATTCCCTGAGGCATAAGCATAAACTGCACTTCTACAAGTGCATTCTCAAATTTTGTCCGGTACATCAAAGAATGAATAAGTTGCTCATCCTCGCCATAAACAGGAAGAGGGTTCAGTTTGAACCTCAAAGGATCTTGTGCCTTCAAAGCAGCTAAAGCATTTGCAACACCTGTATTAGCTATGTTGTAGTCATCCAGAGCATCACCTATATCTTGGGTCCTACTAATCAGAACATTGAGACCAACTTGGATATAACAAATGGAGCAAGAGGAAGGATAGGAGAGATTGTATTCAATCCAAGAGAGCCAGCATTTGAAGAAGATTGCTCAGTTGTGGAGCTGGAATACTTGCCAATTTATATGCTGGTAAAGATGAATCACATCAGAGCACAGAAGCTTGATGGACTCGAAACGCAGGTTATTCCTATAGAACTATGGAGACAGTCAGTCAGTATACAGGTTTGGGTCAAAGGGAAAAAGCATGTCAAACGCACCATTCATTGCAAGCAATCTCCTATGACAGCAGCATATGCATTTACAGATTACCGGGCCCAAGGTCAAACAATACCAAGCATGTTAGTGGATATAGGAAAGCCACCAACACGCACACTCAGTTTCTTTAATCTATATGTTATCCCGAAGTTCAGGCAGATTGACTATACATTTACTTTGAGAGTTTGATGCAGGGTGTTTGACAAAAGGGCATGACATAGAGCTTCTTGTGGAAGATGACAGGTTGAAGAGACACAGCGAACAGACAGCACGGTGGTGGAAGAGAATGAAGGATACATTGGAATAGACAGGATAGATAACTGGTATGTTACTGATGGAGATGTACGTTTGAACCGCGGGGCAGTTGAAACAAACACATGAACAAACAAAACGGACCGAAAACGTAAAATGTTGTGGCATGTTTGCGATATGGAATGAAAAGTGCGTCAATTAAAGATGGCGAGAAACCTAGTCAAGCAAGGTGATATAGTAACACTGACAGTCCAATTAACACTTTTAGGTCTTACACTGTCTTCTGCCTTGGATGATATGGATATGTATAATCAGCATTTGCCCCTCATCAGGGTATCAGGATAAGTTATTCTCAAATCCCAACATTACGTCCCTAGTGGGCACTTTTGTTCTGATAGTTTCCTCGTCAAGTCTGGCAGTGAAATGATAACTACCAAAGATGGCAGGAGAGAAGTCCAACATAACCCATTGTAATATCTTGTCTCCTGCTTGCTAAAACTGATATATGAGCCCATAGGCAATAAGTGCAGATGTACAATACCCTCCGATTCAATATGGACCATGCGGCTGAGCTTCCTTGATTTTCCCATAGTAGAATTTGGCCGTACGTTCAACAGACTCTAGTGACGTTTCAGGTGTGACCTGAACACCCCAAAGGGCAGATGTGAATTGTTCTTGAAGCGGTATGAAGGTAAGAAGGTTTCCACCACTGCGCTGTCTTATACTTCCTTGGAAGTTTCACACCTGCTTTGTCAATCTCAGCCTTAGCTTCAGCTGACAACGTGGGCATTCCATAATTATTGGTAGTCATTTTGACTGGTTCAATCATATTACTCATTTGAGAGATAGTTTGATTTAACGTATCTATCAATCTAGTCAATTCAATCGATCTAGAAGATGTTGAAATTGACTCTGGAGCAATCAATTCAATCAGATTAATTTCTTTTCTCTTCCTTTTGGGATTGAGAATAGATTTCTTCAAATTTCTTGGTAAAGATGTAGGTCTTCCTTGAGATATAGATGATCCTGTTCCTCTAGAAACAGAACTTTCCCTTTATCAGTCTGAGTCACAGGCTGGGGACCTCCTCAAACTGAACCTGAACCTGCTCCAAAAAGAACTCCTCCAGTATTGAGCATTGCATCTTTGAAATCAGCAAATTTGTCAAATTCATTGAGGAGGATGTCATGCTGACTGCCAACATGGATTTGTACAGCATGGTTATATACAATAACTGGGGATTGAAACTCATAATGTCTTGCTTTGAATAAGGACACAATGTGATGTTCGTAAGCTTTGAGTTCTTTTGCGTGTCCTTTAAAATGGCATCCCTGTGTCATAAAGTACGCAGCCCCTATCATTTTCCTTTTTTCACTGTCTCGATGCCCTTACTTGTACAATACATTACCCCATCACTCCATCACTGTCAATCCCCCATTGATTACTGATTCACCTGACCTACCTTCTTCTTCTACCAGCTTTTGCCACCTTCCTTGCCCCTGAACTGTACAGTATTACATCGTTGTTTCTCGCAGACTAGAATATGTATATATAGCCAACCCCCCACAGCCTGGTTCCTTATCTTGACCTCTCTGTCATTATCTGGGACCAGGTATGTGTTTACTTACTATTACCTATGACTACAATACTCAATATATCTCTGTCATTATCTGGGATTAGTTGCTCTGCCTTATTGTCTTGCTTAGTCACTCCGCTCTCCTGCTCTGCTAGTTACTCCGCCTCTGCCGCTTCATGACACCCTGTAGACCCGGAAGGCATGGCTCCAGATGCTTTCATCTCCTGTTAGAATATAATCACGTTATATTCAGCAGCAATGGCAGTAAGAGATAGAGTGCACACAGATCAGACAATGAAGGAGTAGAGAGAACTGCTTATTCAACAAGGTGAATATTACAGGTTTATATACAAGTCCAAGGTAGATGATGTCATGTTACAGCTAAACATAGTGAGAGAGAAAGGAAGTACAATACGATGTATCCTACTGGTAGTCCTATAGTAATAGTACATGATGGTGAGATTGATAACACGGTAGTGAGATAGTGGTTTGTAATATAAGAACAATGTTCCATAGATGGTATGTGAGTCATCAAATGTTAACATCTCCCACCTTCTTAGTGGATTGGGGCCGCCTGAGGGCAAGTTGTGATTCTCCAACAGTAAAGATTTCTGGCTTGACATGTTCTGTTGTTGTTAAGATCATGTACACTGTGTAACCATGCCAGGGCCACAAGGTGTCTAAGTGCGGAAGATGAGTGGGACAGTAGTGAAGTTATTAACAACACCGCCGTTACGCCGTTAGTCCCCGGAGATCGAGAGTATAGAGGGAGAAGCTAAGTAGCAGCCAAGTCGGGGCGGCGGTATCGCCGATGACGAGGAGCGGACCAGAGAACGTCTAAGTCCTAAGGTCGAGTAGAACGTACTTCGAGGCGTTGAGCCTGAAGACTTAGAGGAGTACAGAGTTAAGGAGGGAATCTAAGTCGATAATTAAACTGAGGAACTACAGTAGCATACAGGCAGTATTTATATCTACGGAACGGCACATTGGTGCGGAGCGCCAGACTAACTACTAGGAGTTATACGTGTAGTCCTGCAGGGTAAAGTAAAAGACAATAAGGAGAGACTAGAATGAAAGGGTATGTGTAGCGAGAAAGAACAATAAGGAGAGATTACAATAAAAGGTTGATCTTTGGAATACCGAGCGGCGAAGTGGAGGCCCGAGGCATGGACTTGACAGTATCCCCCTCTTAGGCTTGAGCCCTCGAAAGCCATTAATGCCGGGAGTTGATTAGTCACCAAAAGGAAAATTTTAGAGGCCGTCAGCCTCGGGGATTTGGCCTATCAGTCAGCAGGAAAATTTTCAAAAGCCGTTGGTACTGGGAATTGGCGTTAGTCATCAGTGAAAATTTTCGGTTCACCGTAAACCAAACACAATTCGAAGGAAAATTTTTGCTGGTCCGTGTGCCGTTTTGACCCTATAAAACTGGGCGGTTTTTTGCCTTGGTCCTTTAGTCCAGAAACTGCTAAGTCCTCATGTCTACTAGTCGTACTACCACCAGAACTACCACCACTGTCGGCTCCATCCCGGTCACCGGGCAGCACCCAACTCCTCTTGCGGCCCCGACTCGCCCTTCGACGCCCGACCCTTCAGATGAGGAGCGCAAACTGGAACTTCAGTTGGAGCGCACCAGGGAGAGGAATCGTAGGAGGAAGGAGGAGAAGAAGAAAGCCAAGGAAGAGGCCTGACAGAAGGCGGAGGAGGAGAGGCAGAAGCGAGAGGCTGCCAATGCCAGGAGATTGGAGGAGGAGGCAGCTGAGAAGAGGAGGAAGATGGCAGCAGCAGCGGCGCGGCATCGCCGGGGTCCTTCTCTGGGCGAAGCTTCTACTTCTGCTCATCAAGTAGAGGTAGAGATTCCTCGGATGATCAAGAAGGGTAAGGATAAGCAAAGAAGAGAGGTGCATAATCTATTCAGCACCATACCAATTTTACTAACTCCTTGACTTTAGGTTAGCGGTGGAGACCCAGACGACGGCAGCGATGGCGGGGAGGACAACGACGACGATGAAGAGCGGGCGCCCTGCGAGCGGTGCCAGATGAAGAAAATCCCCTGCCTGGAACAGGTGGGCAAACGAAGCACCGTGATATGCAAGCCATGTCATGATGCGAAGGTAAAATGTTCATACTCCAGGCGGCCAGTACAAGTGAAGCGGGAGGGAGGACCGAGCAGCGAGCGGATGGCCGTGATGGAAAGCCAGTTGGCTCAGCTCTTGGCTGACAACCGGTCCTTGAGGGAGGCCACTTCGAGGTCTCATCAATACCTCAGGCAACTCCTGCGTCGACAGGAGGAGGACCACGCGCGGCTAATTGCCATCGACACCAGAGACGCCATGAGGGAGGCGGCGACACCCGGGCCGTCGAGGTCGGTCTCTGATCGGCCGAGAAGCTTGAAGAGAAGGCGGGTGATAGAAAACAGTGAGGAGGAAGAGGAAGGAGAGGAGGTAGTAGAGGGAGAGAAGGATGGAGAAGGGGAAGAGGAGGTAGAGGAGGAGGAGAAAGAAGGGGAGGCGCCGGCGCCGAAGAGGGCAAAGACGGCGGCCTCTGAGAAGGGAAAGGAAAAGGAGGTGGTAGTGGTAGAGTAGCGGACTTCGGACTTCGGCATTGGCCCTTCGGCCAACTTTTGTAGTCTTCTTGTAACCTCCTGTCGCCTGCTCCCTTTTACATATTTTTCTATTTTGTTTTTTGTATATACAGAATGTCAGCGCGATTTAAAATCGGAAAACGAATGGGCCGCGAGGCGGCATAAGAATTAATTAGTTTGAAGTATAAGTAGTTAAGTGGGAATGAAACTTAAGTAAAACCGTAACTGAAGAACCCAGAATAAGTAAGCAAGAAAGAGGGATAAACACTCAATTTGCTATCATCGTATTTACCCTCTAAACACACGAAGTACACTTCGGCGGAGCATGGCAGAAACGGGGAAAAGGGATAAAATGTTCTTTGTGATCAAGGTCCAGGCTTGTGAGGGTATCGGGTGTGGAATGCCGGTACCAGTTCATCAGCGTGTAATTCATCAGCAGCAACCCAAGAGAATTCATTGTCGGTACCTTCGTAACCGGCCCACCGAATATAATAGCATAGAGGACAACGTTTGTACCTTCTGTCCAGCTTGGAGTCGAGGATTTTGGCAATGTTGTACTCCTCTTCACCATCGACTTCAATTGGAGGTGGAGGAGATTGAGTTCGATTTGGGAACAGATTCGGCGTAACCAGCTCCAACTGTGAGACATGGAAAACCGGGTGAATACGGCGAAGATAATCCGGAAGCTTGAGTTCTTAAGACAAAGTACCAGGTCGACTGATGACCTTGAAAGGACCAAGATATTTTTCTGAGAATTTTTCAGTAGGACGAGTAGAGCGAATGTGCTTAACAAGAACAAATACTTCGGAGCCGATCGGGAACTCCGGGTGCGAGATTCTTTTCCTGTCAGCTTGTTCCTTGTAATGGGATTGAGCTAGAAGGATTTCCTCTCAAAGGAAA